CAGCCCCTTGTGTCCTCACTGACGCGGGAATGAAACTGTAAGGAGCGGCAGGGAGCAGAGTGCCCCTAACCGTGCAGGTAGGACCTGGCTGGCACGCGGGCTCTGAGGGGCTGTCCCCAGGAGAGAGGCCGTGGCATCTGGGTCCCTCCAGATCCACCCAGCAAAGACCCTTAAATTTGCTTGTTAGGGACCGACCTTCCACAGCCCCACCGGACAGAAAAGCAGAGACATTGAGGATGCACTCACACAAGAGGAGGTTTATTTTCTGGCTAGCCAGGGTCCAAGCCCCAGAGCACCAACGCAGTGGCCACTCTCGCAGGCAAGGACCCCAACCTGAATTGTGGGGTGCCTTTTATCCCCCCCAAAGGGCCCTAGCAATGCACAAACTAATTACGCGCTGGTCATGAGCTGACCTTTGAAGTGATTAATTTCCTTTGTATCCTGCGCGATCCCTGTGCATCCCACCTCCCTTTTGCCTTTCTTCACAACCCAAGAGATAACCGGAGGTATGAGTATAAACAGATGTGTGCTGTTCGCTAATTGCCTCACCCTACTTCACACGAAGGGGGGGAAAAACTCTTTTCTTGTTATGCCACTGAGACGCCGCCGAGGCTCCATCGAGGCTCCCCCACATTTCCCCCTTTCCTTTACATCAGCGACGAGCACTCTTGTTCGTCTTCTGGGTAATTTATAAGTTCTGGGTCTGCATTATTTGTCCCGAGTCTTTGATATTGCTGTTGCAGCACCAGAAGCTGAACAGCAGCTCATAGAAAATCCAGACACCAAACTGCAGAGCCGAGTCCCTGCCCTCCACCCCCCTCCGGCCCTGCTCACCGTGGTAGCTAAGAGCAGACGGGACCCTGCAGAACAGGCCCCGGGCGGGCGGCACCTGGCCCACCCCACCCTTCCTGAAATCCTGGCAGCTGGAGCTGGCAGCTGCTGTGGGCCTCGGCCCAGCCTGCCCACCTTGCCGGGAGTCTAGGAATCACGTGAGGAAGGTGTTTAGGAAAGATCGGAGTATCCCAACTAAACAACAAGGAGCAACCCCCGCTGGAACTCAGCTGGTCACCCACGCGCTCCCCATCCCAAGGTCGCCGGGCCTCCCAGGCCGAGGCCTCCTCTGGGCTGTGCTGGGGAGCTCAGGAGTGCGCCGCGGGTGGGCCTGCTTCCCCGCCCAGCCGGGGCACCCGTTCTCCGGGTGGGAATGTCGTCATTGCCTGGTCTGTGCAAGTTGCCACAGAGGGGACCACAGCTCTCACCAGGGACGGCGGGAGTTGGGGGAGGCGGCCTGACAGGGCCAGGAGCTGTGGCCACACTCCCACACGTGGAGCGACACAGGGCTTAGTCCAGCCCCCCACACCCCCGCCGCGGGCAGACAAACTTCTTACTTCTCTAAAGGAGATGGCTCCTCCAGCTCAAGGGGCCCTTGACCACCTTGGAGGAAGGTCGGAGAATCCTTCGATGGCCCCTTTGAAGGTGGCCAGAGACCCCTCTGCTTCTGCTGTTTCCTCAGATGCCAACACGCCGTATTTGGGGCAGTGTGTCCTGAAGCCCCAGACCCGCGTCCCTCCCCAGACCCGGGGACCTCTGCTCCAGCGGCTTCTGCCACTGACGCCAGCCCCCCATCAGGGGACCCCGCCTAACTGCCTTCCCGAGGGGGTCCTGGCGGGAGCGCTCTGGGTGCTTGGCAGCTTCTCCCTGCAGCCCACAACGCAAAGCCCCCAAGGCAAGGGGACGCTGGGGTCGCGTCCTCTACAGATGGGGCAGTCAATATAACTTCAGAAGCAGGAAGAAACCACAAATTTACATCGATAAACCGTCCTGTCACAGGCAGAGTTTTGCTGTGCATGCCGGCTCCAAATTTTGCCCACTGACACCGTGGCAGGCGCCTTGGCTTCACCCTCCGGTCGCTGCGCCGGAGAGACTAGGCCGGGCGGGAGAGAGGCCGCGCACAGACGGGCCGCACGTGCCGCCCTCCCTTCCTCAGCTTGCAGAGGGGAGGAACAGGCCTGCTCGCCCAGGCCCGCGGAGCTTCTGCAGGCGCTTCCCTGCCAGGGCTCTGGGGGGCCGAGCCACCGGCAGGGGCACCCAGGGCCTGCGCCGCTTCTCCTGGGGGTGCCGGGCGGGGAGGGCGGGCGGCCACCCTGACCTCTGGGCACCCTTGCTCTCGCAGGACCTGGGCATGGAGTCGACCTCCCTGGACGACGTCCTGTACCGCTACGCCAGCTTCCGCAACCTGGTGGACCCCATCACTCACGACCTCATCATCAGCCTGGCGCGCTACATCCACTGCCCCAAGCCGGTAGGCGCTGGGCGGGAGGCGGGCGCCCGGGCAGGAGAGGCCCCTCCCCAGGCACCAAGAGGGTGGGCTGGGTGCCCTCCCTAGCGCCATCAGCACAGATGGGTTTTGTTTGGCCCACAGGGTGAATTCGTTGCCAACATTTAAAAACGATCATTTTTCACATGATCCCTATATTCAGCTGCCCTTGAAAAACCGGAAACTGCAGCAACATGAAGCCCTGTTCCTACAGGGCTGCAGCTGCGTGGCCATCCCTGTTGTGTGGGGCCAGGTGCACCGTGTACAGTTGTACAGGTTATACACTGCACAAACACAGGCTTGCAGGGAGGTGGGGTGGGGGGAAGCAGGGGAGAGCTAAAACCCAGCACTCTCCCTGCCCACCACACCATGACCTGTGCGGGACTGTGTCCCCCCCAGAGGAGGACGTGCTCTTATCTGCACAGAGGTGGCCCGGAGGCCGGCAGCGGCCTGCGCGGGGCTGTCCGGGTTGCCTCAGTCCCCACCACGCCCAGTTGTCTCCAACTCTGGGTGAGGTCCTTCGACGCCCGCCCCTTCTCTCGTGTCCATTTCCTGCGTGGCCCTTCAGGAGGAAGAGCCCAGGGCTCTCCAGGCCCCCA